GTGCTCAGTGTTCTTTTCATTTCTTTCTCTTATGTTATGGATCCTCATCTCCTTTTAGATTTTCCCTCAGAGGCCATCAGCTCTTTTTGATGATTCTTTTGGTGCATTTTCAGCTGATCAGGTTTGTGTATAAATGCCACCTGGATTAAGTAGCTGCTTTGATAATAGATAGTATTTATTTTTACCCATCTAGGATTTACTAGGAGAAGTAAAACTCCCAACCTAGTCCTGTCTGCTTCTGTACCTTGCTATCCTTGCAGTTCCTGTAGTTCTCCTTCTAGTGACTGTGGCTGCTCTTGCGAAAATTTAGGAGACTTAGATAGAAAACTTGAAGGTGTTTATATAAAAACTTGACAGTTCTGAGGTACCAGTATGTTTCTAATCAAAGAGTTATGTTTGCCAGCATCAGCTTTCCAGTCTTTTCAGCTCCTTGATGCCTGTGACAGACCCACTCAGACCTTGATTTAGTGCAGTAAATGAACCCAGAGGCTAAAAGATTTGCACAGGAACAGCTTCATTTGCAGAGGGCTCGAGTGGTGCAAGTCACAGTGATGCTACAGCAGTTGACTGTCTGGGGTTTGGTTTATCTCCATTTTCCCCTTGATTCAAGAGCTTCATACAGCTCCAAGTGTTGATTGGAATGGAGTGAACAGTGATGATGGCATGGGACATCCTCAGCTGTGGTTTTAGCTGACCTCCTGTATTTTTTGGGGTGAAAAAGCTCTTTTGCTTTTCCCTCCTTTCTGTCTTTATGGTTAAGTCTTCCATTGAACAATTGACAATCAGATTTCTTCATTCAAAGTCAAATTTCATCATGAACATCCAGTGATTTTGAGCCTCTGCAAACTGAGTGCTCTTAACATCTCTTAACTGAACTTTGCAGCTAGAAAAGGTGATGGAAACAGCATTCCTGAGGAATCTTAGCCAAATTTATTTCCTTTAGCTAAATTTATGCTGTTTGAGGGTAACAAAGGGACAAGTGACATATTAACAGTTTGATTCTCTTCTTACCACCTTTCGTCTTTAGTTATGTTTAACTATTTTTGCCTTTTCTTTTGTGTTGTGCTTACTGCTATCTCACTGGCTAGATTTTCACTCCAAGGCCTTGTGACTTGTTTGCTGATTCCAATGGGGTTTTTTCACCAAAGAAGGTTGGTTTGGTTACTGTAGTGGATTTAAATTTAGAAGAACTTTAGATGAAGAGCTTTTTAGCTGTTTGTATCAGAGAATACTAGTAGTTCTAGATTTTGCTTTGATGTTGATAGACTTTGCCAAGTAAGCACCTGACCTGTGTTGCCCAAGAAAAGCCAAAGCTGATTCTACATCAGTGTTAAAATTTTATTGAAGCAACTTCTTCTGCTGTTGGACTTCCCATATCAGACTTTGCAGAGACTTCACAAGGATTT